CGAAGACTATTTCAATTTTCAGCAAATGAAATCCTGGTTCACGTTTGGATCAGCCAGGGGGGGGGGGGGGGCGCAATAACATGACAATATTTTCCAAGAAATTATTAAATTCTATTGATATTGAGAGATTATTTGAGAATGAGAATTAATGTAAAAATAACTTGATGATGTTGACAAGCTTTTTTGAGGATTTTGTACTAGTGGACATTATTAACTTGGCCACCCCAGCCATGTTCTCAGAGCAGATTAATTATTTGTTTGGACTTGTTTACAATGCTCAAAATCAGATAGCAACTACTCGATGAAAACAAGCTTTGAGATGTAGGCTTATAGCCTCAAGCATTAATCTGGAAGATGTGGAAGTTTAGTGAGAGGGACAAAACTACGTAGAAAAAGATTATATATACAGTCAAACCTCTCTATAACAGCCTCATTTGTTCTGATATTTTTTGGCTTCTATAATGAATGATTGTTATACGCCTATAACAGCATTTGACATTTCATATTTTTTGGGATGTTATAGATAAAACTTATCAAAAAATCAATTTTTTTTATGTTACATAAAAATATAAAAAAATTATTCAAAATTTAATATATTAGAAATTATACACATTTCACTGGGTAAATATTTAAGAAAGCTAATACATTATTAATAAATTCATAACTAAACGTACAAAGATTTAAACTCTAACACACACATTTTAAAGTTACTAGGAAAATAAATTCTTTCAAGAATGATGTAAGAACTTCACAATTGTAGCTATTTCGTAGATTTTATTCTCTTACTACCAATATAACATTTGAATTGGCGAAGATCCGTGTCCAAATTTTGAGCAAAAAGGTATCTAATGGAAATTATATCATATGCAAATCTTCAAATCTTATGTCTTATGCAAGATAAAAACTTTGTTTAATAGAAACGATTGTGTGTATATTTTTAGAATTATTATTAATAATCTTAAAGATTCTACATGACTATTCTAGAGGGATAATTTTACAGAGAGTGTTCTGCTATAAATATAACTGTCATTGTTAATGTTATAGATAAAAAGCTGTTATAGAAAGGTAAAATATAACTTAAACCGTACGTATGTATATATGTTTGAATGCTTAGACCTCGCACTAAATCCGTCTCTGAACAAAAATATTTTGGCTTGATTTTAATCTCGAAACAGTCGAGCCTAACATGAAGTTGGAAATCTTAATTAGACGTCAAGACAGAGATCAAATTGCAGTTTATAATAATTAATGCCAGCCACCTTTTTTATTAAGGAGGAAATCTTTTATTGGTTTGCAACTCTGTTAGTTATACGACATGTTTTAGGTTGTGGGACGAGACAGCACGAAGGGCCACAGAGAGTTGTACTCCAAGTATGAAGAGAAGTTTTATTTTGTGTCTCATACAACTGACACTAGTTGTATGAGGCTTTTTTTTGTCTCATAAATTTGTGGATCCCAATCTTACACTTCTGGGTCCACAGAATTGTGGGTCCACAAAATTGTGAGATAAAAAGTTGCCTCATACAACTAATGTCAGTTGTATGAGACACAAAATAAAATTTTCCAAGTACGAAGGACTTTAAGAATTGTACTACCTCTAGTCTATATTATCTTTTACACACCCCTTAAAAAAGATTAATATAGATATATATATTTTAAATCTTTTTACCATTCGTTATCTCTCTTAACCGTCTCATTTAATTAATACTTCACTTAAACGGGAGCAACAAGGGTATATCTTGAACAAAGTGATGCAAATGCTTGTTGTTTACTAAAACGATTAATTAAGTATTTTCTCTTCTCTAGTTAGTTTACTACAATTGTTACTGGTAAATCTAACTAGCCGGTATTTCTGTTTTCTAGCCATTGCCATGTATCGGAGTTTGGTAACCCATGCTCCAGTTTGCCCGGTACTTGTAACGACCTAACCGGTGGTTTTAAGTATTTGCATTCCGTTCAGCAATTTGTAGTCTTGAGCGGCATCAAATGATATATTATGACTTGTGTGAATCGTCGGTTTTGGTTTTCAGGTTATTCGGAATCGATTAGGAGGAATGAATTTCATTGTTGAAGCTTAAAGTTGGAAGAGTTGACCAAGTTGGCTTTTGTCAATTTGACCCCGGAATGGAGTTTTGATGGTTCCGTTAGGTGCGGATGGTGATTTTGAACTCGGGCATATGCTCGAATTTGCATTTGGATGTTTCTAGAAGGTTTCGGCACAAATTGGCGAAAAAATGAAATTTGAAGGTTTAGAAAGTTCATAAGTTTAACCGAGAGTTGAATTTGAAGATATCAAATTCGGAATGTGGTTTCGGGAATTGAAATAGCTTTGTTATGTCATTTGGGACTTGTGTGTAAAATTTAAGTTTATTCTAAGTTGATTTGATATGTTTCGGCACGAGTTTTGGAAGTTGAAAGTTCAAAAGTTTATTAAGTTTGATTTGAAGTGCGATTCATCGTTTAGATGTTGTTATGCGTGATTTTAGGCCTCGAGTAGGTCTTTGTTATGTCATGGGACTTGTTGGTATATTTGGACAGGGTCCCGAGGGGCTCGGGTGAGCTTCGGACGAGGTTCAAATTATTTTGTCGCATATTGCAAATTGCTGTGGCTGCTAGTTCTGGTATTACCGCACCTGGAGGAGTTATGGGTGCAGGTGCAGAACCGCAAAAGCGACAAAAGAGTTGCAGGAGCGGAAGTGGAACTGGGAGCAAGGCTCCGCAGATGCAAGAAATGGGCCGCACCTGCGGAAGCGGTGCCTTGGGTTGCAGGGGCGAGGTATGGCGCATGTGCGATATGGCAGAGCCGCACCTGCGGGCGCGCAGGTGCGAAGTGATGTTCCGCAGAAGCGATGGCTGTTGAGTTGTTTGTTCGCATAAGCAAAGATTGGGCCGCGTATGCGTGTCCGTAGAAGCGGAAATTTGGTTCGCAAATGCGATAAGCGCTGGTATAATGCTTTAAGTTCGAGGATTGGCCATTTTTATCACATATTGAGCTATTGACTTCGGAGTGGAGAGATTTTGGAGGCAAATTTCATCACAAGGATTGGGTTTCGAACCGTTCGGAGGTCGGTACGCGCATGATGACATTTTGGAGCATCGTTTGACTTGCTCGGTATTGGATTTGGCTTGTTCGAGGTAAGTAACACTTCTAATCTTGCTGCTGAGGGTATAAAATCCTGAATTATGTGCTATGTGATTGATGTTGAGGTGACGCGCATGCTAGGTAATGGGCGTGTGGGTGTGCACTGTAGAAATTGTGATTTAGTCGGTTCCATAGAATTGTGTAGCTACCTTATCTGAATATTTTTTTTACTGTAACTCTATGTGTTAGAGCTCTTGAGCTGGAATTTATGCTAGAAATCATGTTTAGGCTATATGTTCGTCTATTGGGGCCCACAATGGTCGTTCCTTGTTGTTGAGTTATTTGCTTAATTGCAACTATGTACTTAGTCGTATTCATCATTACATATCATATCTCAATATCTGTTATTGTATATTATCGCATCTCATATCATTGACTTGGGCTGCTTAACATGAGTGTTGTGAGCCCGAGAGACTGGAGAGATTGATGACTGAGTGAGGCCGAGGGCATGATTGTGAGATATTGATACTATAGCGTACTAAGTGACTGAGTGTGGCGAGTGATTGAGCGCGATGAGTAGAAAGTATGAGACAATGAGATTGAGTACTCTAAGAATGTGAGTATATGAGTTCATCACAGAGAGGCACTGTATTTGACATGCGCACTTGAGATACATGCATAGAGATGCATTTCCTTATGCTATCCAGTTTTTGGTGACATTTATGATTTCACTTGCTTATCAACATGTTGGTAAAGATACGTACTTCTCTCATGCTATCTGAAAATGAAATATCTTAATTATTGTTGAAAGATTTGTGGCAAAAATAACAGTTTTCAGACTTACCATAATTTTGGTGATTTCGGCGAAAGAATTGAGAATTTTTTGTTATACTTGAAAAGTGTGTCTATTCCGTAACTATGAATGAGTTGAGCATCTTATCTCTGAGTTATTTTCTTGTACCATTTTTATTATATTGTTTTGAACTGTGGTGGGTTATTGGAGTTGGACTCGGACCCTTGTCCCAGATCGTCACTACTTTCAACGTAAGGTTAGGTTTGTTACTTATTGAGTACATGGGGTCGGTTGTACTCATACTATACTTCTGCACCTTGTGTGCAGATGTTGGATGTTGCTGCGTACAGCGGGAGCTGGATCTGAAGATGTACCTGCGTCCCAGTCATAGTTGCTTCTTGATCCTGGTAGCCTTAGTATTTCAGATATGTTCATGTATATTTCAGACAAATAATGTATTTTATTTCAAACCAGTTTTGTAAACTCTATATCTTAGAAGCTCATGATTTGTACTTTCAGTCCTGGGAAAGTTGTATAAAATTCAGTTATCTCATCTTTGATTCACATCAGTGTTATTATATTATGTTATTTTGTTAATTGACTTACCTAGCGGGTTGGGTTAGGTGTCATCACGATGGATTGGATTTTGGATCGTGACACCATTCTTTTTTACTTATCCAATATACAACAAAACAAATTAAATTCTAAAATCATCTATGATTTTTGCTCCATGCACGTCATTTGTGGGAGTCAATCTTGTTTTATACGTGGGCTAATTAGTTTGGATCACTCCTTCATGTAGTAAATGCTGCAATCACAGGAAAAATTGTATAAATTGTTTATTGTTAGGATAGAGATATATGGTATAGATAGCTCACAGCCTACTACTCACTACTCCTATACAGAATGGCAAATACTAACATTTATATGAAATTATGTCGCAAACTAGATTGAAAATAGCTGAACACTGAAAACAAAAATAAAACAAAAATTCAATCGTATGAATCAGAAGATGAATTCTAAGAAGATTACAAAACGAAAAATTATAATAGTATAAGATTACTGTTGATCGAAACGGTCTTGATATTACAATTGTCTTCTGGAATTTATGACCTACATTCCTAGTTACTCCTCCTCGTGCATGACGACACTGAGTCTGGGAAAATATAGGATATCCAAACACAAGGTGACAGGAGGATACTCATACTCGAAATTATTCGATATACAAACCTTTGTAACAAATCGTTGTTGTTTAGGATTATAGATGGAGAAATGGTATTTCGTTGGTCCTTTAAATACAATATCACCATTTCCTGTGCAATACAAAAGCTCACTGTATCTTTCAAAATAATGCTCGCAAAACCCTAATGGTACGTCGCAAACTTTCATTAACCATTTCCATCCATCTCGTTCCATGATCCAAATGTCCAAGTCTTTATCAGTGGTTTTTCTACCGTATAAACTGAGGCGACCTTTCAAAGTAGTCAAACGAAACAATTGATCATCTTCACTTGTAAATTTTGGTTTTGGAAGTACTTTCAGTTCGTCTGACTTCACATCAAAATATATAATTGTTGAAGCTTTACATACCAGATGATCAACTTCTTGATTTAGAGACCAAAATACACAATCCTCTGTGCTAATACCCTGACCATAGTAATATGTCCCTGAATTAGTTGTTCCACTTAAACTAAAAAGACTTTGCTTTACTATAGGAAGATTTTTTATGCCGTCCAACAATTGCTATTTCTCATAGACCAAACAGCATAAAACTCGTTATAGATCGAAATAATTTTGTAATCATCAGTACTAGAATCATAACACATCCCACAACCATAAGGAAGCATTCTTTCATCGTCGTCGTCGTCATCGTAAGCTTCCGGATATGGACATAGGAGAGTTCGTTGTTGTCTGATTGATGGATTCCACAAAATAAATGTCTTATTAGACTTACGTTTCTTCAATAGTACCAATCCATCATGTGAGCATAAAACGTCATGATCATCATTGAATATCTTTAGAGGAAAGAGTTGCCTTTCTATGGCAACTTGTGGACTAATTTCCAAGTCCATAAACCTGAATTCGGAGGTAAAAGCTCTTTGTAACAAGAGTTTTTTACGTACCAAAGCTTTGGAATGATCACGGTGAGCTTTTGTGAATTCTTCCTCAGAGATTATAGAATTCCATGGTGCGGAAACAGATCGAAAACGTAACAAAGATTTAACAGGTAGATTAATAAGGATACGATATAAGATATCACATGGAACAATGGATGTACTATCTTCAAAGGCTGGCTTCTTATGTAACTTCGTCTCCTTTGACATTATTATGTGTTGGGGGGCAAGTTGTGGCGCAGGAAAAACAGCTTCCTATATATTAGGGTTTAATAATATTGGAGAATGAAGTAACATAGGAGAAGGAAATTGAAATTCAAGACTTGTTGTGAGGAAAAAGAATTCTTTTCCTTTATGGAATTTATACTATGACGATTCTTTCCCACGAACCCTACCAAAACTCAACTTATATATTTGCTACTTGCTATTCTGTATGTTGCACTAGTCTAACATGATATGTCATAACTAGTTAACAATGGATAGTATAAGAATTATTTAAAATGTCGCTATATATAAGTTTAACCTTTCAAATTACTGATGACTAAGCAAAAAAAGTGAAATTAATTACTGAGATGGTAATTAAGAGCTTGTTTGACCAAGCTTCTGGGTTAAAAAGTACTTTTGGAATAATTTAAGGTGTTTGACCAAAATAAAAAGTAATTCTAAGCAAAATCAGAAGTAGTTTTTCTATTTCTGGAGAGAAGCTACAAATTATAGCTTCTTCCAAAAAGCAGAAGCAGAAAATTAATTTATTCAAGACAAATATAACCTTACAATAAATTTATATTTTATAAATTATCCCTCATTAATTTAATAATTTTTTCTTTTCCTTTTTGTTTTTATTTAACAACAACAACAACAACAACAACAAACGCAGTATGATCCCAATAGGTGGGGTCTGGGGAGGGTAGTCTGTACGCAAACCTTACCCCCACCTAATGCAGGTAGAGAGGTTGTTTCCAATAGACTCTCGGCTCATGAAGGGCAAGAAGAAAAAGAGGAAAGCAAGGAAGGAAGAAAGAAGGTTTGTTTTTATTTCTATTATACATTTCTTCTCTTTGTGCTTTAATCATATTTTTATTCTCTTTCTCCTATTCCTAAGAGTATATTTTAAATTTGTATTGAATGATGTATTTTGACATAATTAAATTATCATGTAAATAATAAGTAATACCAAACACTCAATGTTATTGCTTTAGAATAACTATATTTTATATTAGTTAGAATTATTAATTTATATTTTTACTTTACGTTTTATATTTTAATTGAATATGTTTTTAATAAAGTTTTAATTATTTTTCTTTTCTAAATAATACTAATCGAAAATTGAACCTTTATTTTCCTTTTCGTAATTCAATACTTAAAGTGCTTTTTAAAAGATTGGTCGAATACAATGAGCTTGCAAAAAGCACTACTCAAACGAATTGACCAAACACAAACTGCTATTGTACAAAAGTACTTTTTCAAAAAGCACTTTTGAATAAAAGCGTTTTTCAAAATAAGCAATTTTTGGCAGCTTGGCTCTAAATCTTGTTTAACCCCAAAATCGGATAACAATTGAATTTGTAGGTGGTTTTAAGGATACGCGGATTAATTTGACACGAAGCAACAAATTGGATTAGATTGAACAAGAAAAGATAAAAATAAATTCAAACCACGCGCACGGGACAGTTTCAGCCTTAGTGAAATGTTCACCCTCGATTCGGGCTCAATGTGACCAATACTGATGAATGAGATAAAAGCTAACGATAGAGAAAAATAATAATATATTACCTTGGATACGTGTTACAACGTGTGTTATGAAATATCAGACCCCCTTTGATAGGTTACAAGTATTTTGGGCATAAGTACTTTACTTTATGTTTTGATGATCTAACAAACTTACCATCCAAAACCAGATAAAGAACCTGTTACACATTTACAAGACCTTGAGATCACACAGTTCCAGGTTTGGATCCAGCGTGGGATATAACTCAACTCTTCAGAGTGGAAGGAACAGCTGACGGAACAGGTCCCTACCAGTTCCCGATGAGAGTGTATGAAATCAACTCTCCAGCTGGAAAGTTGCTGCCTGTACACGCTACTGCACTAGAACAATGCAGCAGTCAACTTTCTGTGGACACGGCTTTTTACCTACCTTGCTTACATCATTGTAAGTGTTGTCATACATGTATAAATACAATCAAGGAAGGTAAAACAACTCACCTCATGAGAGAACCAGATAAAAGACCTGAAGCATGCCTGACACAATCATTCAAGTTAATCGACTCAAGATAATCTGGGCAGTGTGCATTTAGATTCACAAGAACCAGATTAGGGACCTGATCCCTTGGTGTTCCCCTGACAGAAGTATGAGTCAACTATACAGCTGGAAACAACTGCAGAAAGTGACTGTCTGTAACTGTACACGCGACAGTGCAGCAGACAGTACGGCAGTCACTTCCCATTGGGAAGAGGCATGTACTAACCAAGATTTGACATCACCAATATGAATTAACATCACCATGGTGATGTCTTTTGTAGTATAACAACCTGGTGCAAGGCACAAGACAATCGACTAAAAACTTGCAAAATTAGAAAAGAAAATATTCTCTCAAGTGCTAGCTACAACCTCTCTCAAGAACAAGGCTGCTGCAACCTCAAGGACCAGATCCAAAGATTGAAGATATCTTAAGTCCTTAGGTTTGTTGAGTCTCTGTTATTTGTTCTTCATTTGTAACTCCTACTTAGCTTAGTTAGAAACATTGTGTAGGAAACCCTTTGCAAATCATAAACCCTTGTGTTTGTGTCTTGGCTAGAGTTAGTCGAGTTGTGAAGTCTTTGTAATATAGTTATTACAAAGTGGCTTGTAATGGTGTTGTTGCAAGTTAGTTGAGTTAAAATCTTTATAATAGAGTTATTACAAAGTGGCTTGTTATAGTGTTGTTACAAGTTAGTTGAGTTAAAGTCTTTGTAACTAGTGAGTGACAAAATGGTTTGTGGTAAGTGAATCACAAGTTAGTTGAAGTCTTTGTAATAGAGTCATTACATTGTGGCTTTGTCACGACCCTAGTTCACCCTCCATGAACATGTCGTGATGGCACCTAGTTCCTACAACTAGGTAAGCCTAACAATGCGGAAATGTATATAACTTGCGAAAACATTTAATTTAATTAAGCAAAACTAGAAGAAAACAGTGAATAAGTGCCACCTGGCATATACAACTCAAAAATAAATCGCGGAAGTCAAAATCTCAACCGAAAACCCGGAAACTCACGGGAACCACAGGCTAACAGAAACATAGTACGCTGCTCTACCTCCAGAATATCTAAGCAACTGAGAGAAAGGGAATAAACTAAGTACTAAAACTGGAACATAATAGAGACTCCTGGTCTGCGGACGTGGCAGATATACCTCGAAGTCTCCGTGTATCTCCTCGCCTCAAGGATAGTGCGCCTGAGTAGAGGTACCTGGGTCTGCACATGAAAAACATGCGCAGAAGGGGCATGAGTACACCACGGCGGTACTCAGTAAGTGCCAAGCCTAACCTCGGTTGGGTAGTGACGAGGAAGGTCAGGGCCCTACTGAGGTAAAATATAATAATAATCAACAGTATGAAAAATTTGACGGAAATAATGAGTACAACAGTGAGATAAGACAGGTCAACGAGGCAATAACAACTATACAAGAACAAAACAAACACAGAATGACTACAGTTCAATACCAAGGATAACAATGAGGGCCTCCCAGGATACCGTCCTGTAGCCCTTTCCTCAACTGTCCAGTGGATCTCCCGGGATACCGTCCCATAGTCCAACTCATGTGCCAAACCGAAGGATCTCCCGGGATACCGTCCCGTAGTCCAACCATCAATATGCAGGGGGATCTATCGGGAATCTAACCCACAGTCCCAAAGTAAAAGTGCAGGGGGATCTATCGGGAATCTAACCTGCAGTCCCAAAGTAAAAGTACAGGGGGATCTATCGGGAATCTAACCCGCAGACCCAAAGTAAAAGTGCAGGGGGATCTACCGGGAATCGAACCCGTAGTCCCAAAGTAAACAGACAAGGGGGGGGGGGGGGGAGCTACCGGAATCCCACATCCGTAGTCCCAATATAAAAGCGCAACCACAACCAGAATGAAGTACAAAAGACAAGCAACAGGTAGTACTAGCCTAGCATGCTTCACGTAGTACAGTTAAGGCAACTTAAGCAATTTGACAAGTTAAATCAACTAAACATGCTTTCCTAATCTAACACAGGCTATAATTTCAAGTAGAATAAAGCAAATATGAAAGGAACTAAATCGCAATATCTTAAGTAAATACCGGATTTTCAACAATTGGCACAAGTACGCGCTCGCCACGTCGCGTACAAGGCTCTCAAATACCAAATAACAAAATCCTAAGGGGAAAGGTCTCCCACACAAGGTTAGACAAGCCACTTACCTCGAACCGGCTCAATATCAACTAGAAACCACGCCCTTGCCACGAGTATCCGACTCCAAATGGCCCAAATCTATTCAATTCAATTACACATTGTAAATAACATCGCAAACAACTGGTTTTGCTATTTAATTCAAAGCTACGTCGTGAAATTAGGTGAAATGACCAAAATGCCCTTCAGGCCAACGCCTCGGAATCGAATAATTTTCACATTTTCAGAACCCTCGTACTCTCACGAGTCTAACCATATAAAAATCTCCCAAATCGGAGGTCAAATGCCCACTCAAAACTCAATGGTTTAGCCTATTCTTCCAAATTTTGATCCCAAATTCTTCCAATGGTCAAATGCCCACTCAATGGTCAAATGCCCACTCAAACCCCAAATTCTTCCAATTTTGATCCCAAATTCGAATTTTAATGATGGATTTAACTACAAAATGATGAAATATAACTAGAAGGGATTAGAGAAACGTTACCCAATAATCTCCTCTTCAAAACCCTCTGAAAATCGCCCTTACCCGAGCTCAACTTGATTTTTTCTAACTTATGAAATCAAACCCTCGAAATTTCTATATCTGCACAGGTATTTCTGCTTCTGCGGACAAGGGACCGCATCTGCGGTCCCGCTTCGGCGGCCAATTTACCGCTTCTGCGGTTTTTCATTAAATTCCAGGCTTCCGCTTCTGCGGTCTTAAACCGCACCTGCGGTTGCCGCTTCTGCGATACACTTACTGCTTCTGCAGTTTCACACAAAGGGCCCAGGGCCGCATCTGTGATAGGGGCCTCG